AGTTTTACGTAATCCATAGTGCGAGTTGGCAGAGAAATTACAGGGACGGATTTGAGGCGATCAAAATATTGGGAAGGAGCAATGCAGTGTTCAGCCTTAAATCTAGACTGAGGCTTAACAGAATAACCGACACAAACCCATTACATTTCTCTGCGCTCGCAAAGATGGTGTGCTGTGTTTAAATGTTAGTTAATGCTGGTGGGCCAACTTCAGTTGATGGAATTAACCATTAAGAATAGATCGACTTTACAGCACAACAATGGAAACTGATCTATTTTCAAATGGGTTTTATGGACAAGTTTGGAGCTGTAGCAAATTAAAAAGCTAAACCTCACTGATTATAAACAGAACATGAGCTATTGTAGTTGTTGATGATGTTTAGTAATAGTATTACTATCACTAATACTACTAATATTCACCATAATCTTAAAAATAATGGTCATATTGGTCATGGTGTTTAGTTACAAGTTGTTGCTAGTTGACAATACACATATATCTCAGTAACCATAAGGATTTGAATAAGAAGTCCAAACATCAAGTTCAAAGTTATCGTAATTCCAGTCATTATAATTCAAATGATATTCAGCAAACTAAAATAAATATTTTTCATATATCTACTGGGTAACAACTGAAAACAATTAAACCACACTGATATACATTCAGACAAGAATCTAATTATATAATGAAGTTATATTTTAATGAAAAGAATCATTTTTATATTCATGTCAGATTGGGGCAAGTTGTCACACTTTTACTGGTTTTATTTATTTATTAATCTTATTTGTCACAATATTTTGGGCCAAAATAATTGAGTTTTTAACATGTTGCCAACAATCCATTAGTATCACATGTACATTAATACAGCCTAAAACCTATTATATGATATTTAATGGCAGGTTTTGAGTGTAACAATATGGTCTGCAAAGTAGGTGTTTATTGAGCTGTATCTTTTCCCCTGGACAATATTGGTTAAATATTCAATATCTTTCCACTGGAATGTACTAATTCATAAAACAAACCCACCCTGAGAAATATTCACTGCAGTAAAAAAAAAAAATAATTAAAAGTGTGACAACTAGCCCCGGTCTCTCATGTGCTATATATCTCATCTTTTATTGCGAGAGTTTTACTAATTCATCTCAAGCTTGTTGAAACCTGCCATCTGTGTAAAATCCCAAAAGACTTCATTATTAGGATTGATATTTTCCCGGAGCAGTTAACATGGAATATTTTTTTGGCCCGCTTCCAGTTTGCTGTTCGGCTGTGGTTGAGTTTTTAAAGCAGCGGCGAGGCAAAACATCTCCAAGTAGGTGGATCTTTGTGAAACAGGGTGGATTTCTATTCTGTGCCTCCAATCAATGTTACTTACAATTAAATTGTCAATGTGGGTTTCTGAATGAACAAATAATCCCAATTTGGGTGAAAACATCAAACTTGAAAAGATACACTTTATTATGAATTTACGTTTTTAAAAATACTCAAACTCAAAAACTCAGAGACATACTGATACAAAAAAAAAACAAACATAAAATGCCATGTAAGGACCCAAAATTCTGAATCTTTTAAGAATCTGTCCATTTACACGAACCATCTGAAAGAATCAATGAATCAGGCTTTCCAAAGCTACATATAAGAGAAGAACTGTTTAAAACAAACTGATTCACTAGAATGAACCTGGCTTTCCAAAGCTTCATACTGTACTGTATATGAGAGAGGTCCATTTAGGATGAATCAAATCACTAGAATGAATCAAACTTCCCAAAGCTACATATGAGGGAAAGACCGTTTAAAATAAGTTGATTCGCTAATGAAATGAATCTGATTTTCCAAAGCTACAAACTGTATGAGAGAGGTTAGTTTAGGACAATCCGATTCACTAGAATGAATCAAGACATTCAAAAGCTATGTAGGAGAGAAGGAGGGCAATTTAAAACAAACTGATTCACTAGAATGAATCTGACTTTTCAAAGCTACATAATGTACGAGGGAGGTTAGTTTAGGACAAACCGATTCACTAGAAGAAGGAATCAAACTTTCCAAAGCTACAGTAAATAGGCGAGAAAGAGAACCATTTAAAATGAACTGATTCACTAGAATGAATCTGAATTTTGAAAGCTACATACTATACAAAAGAGTGGTTCATTTAGGATTAACCTATTCACTAAAATGAATCAAACTCTTACTAAAGTTACATACGAGAGAGAAGTCTGGTTAGGGCAAACTGATTCACTAGAATGAATCAGATCTTTCCAAAGCTACATACTGTATGAAAGAGAGGTTCATTTTGGATGTGCTGATTCATTCACGAAAATGAATCAAAATGTCCAAACCCACATATGAGAGAAGAACTATTTAATATATGAACTGATTCACTAGGATGAATTTGACTTTCCAAAGCTACATGCTGTTTGAAAGAGAGGTCCATTTAGGATGAACTGATTCAGAATAAACCAAACTTACCAAAATGCCATATGAGAGACAGGTATTTTTACGATAAACCGATTCATTAGAATTAATCAAAATTTCCAAAGCTACATATGAGAGAGAGAGGTATGTTTAGGACGAACCGATTCACTAGAATAAATCAAAATTTCCAAAGCAACGCGTTGTGGTTATTTATATTGTTTTATTTGCACACCATTGTTATATTCTGTCAGCTTTTATTGAGAAGACCAGTCATCAATGGCCCACAATGGAACACAACAGTTCAGAGAAAAATAATTTTAAAACAAACCCAACAACAGCCTGTTATCCAGCACCCCTAAATTAGCATTTGATTTCTCATTGCATTGTATCAATATCCTGCTGTGGTTTTGTTCGGTCATCTATGATTATAATCACATGATTTACAGTGGATTATCCAGCCTGTCATTGTATGGCATGTTGGCTACGCCGCTGGAATATTTCTAAGCGCACACCTCATTAAAGTCCTTTGAGAGGAAAACAAAACGAAATAAGTCATTTGGAGAGCTTTAGTATGCATGGAGGACGTAAACAAATGAGATCACCTTGAAAGGACAATTAAGAAGAGAGCTAAGAAACCTTTTGGACCGCACAAAGTAATTACAACTTAAAAGATAAATGATTGAGTTTTTAATGGTGTTCTGAATCGAGTTAGTTTTAACAAAACAAGGAACAATCGATACACTCGCAGAAGACTACAAATGTATCCAATTGGCAGTGTTTAGCTTAATGACGGACGCTGAAATGGCAATGACAACTGGCACGGCGACCTTGAGCACTGAGCAGACAGATGAACCAGCAGAAAATGGGGTTTTCTACTAATTAAAGCCAGAGTTCCCTAGACATAGAAGATTATTTCAATTCAGTGTGGAGCTTAATATGGAGCTTTAAAATATGTTTACTGAGACTGTGGTGCTCAAGATGGAGATTTACCCTCCTGCAGAGAACAAGACTTCGGTTTGGTTCTGTTGTACTTTTATTTTGTACACAGCATGCTAGACATTCAGATGTTTGTGATGAGATCTTCAAACTCATTTTACTGCACATCATTTAGCCTCAAGCCTGTTTCAACCACAGAATAAAGAGTTAAATAAAAAGGGTAATTGCGACTCAATACTTTTTTCTTGAATTGTGAGAAAAACTCGCAATTCTGAGAAAAAAACGTCTGAATTGTGAGACAAACTATAAACAACAATTGAACTTTTTCTTGCAACTTTGAGTTTACATTTTGGCGGTTCTACATTTTTTTTTTCCTCTGAAGTTTGCATCTCACAATTCTGTTTTTTCTACCTTTTTTTATTTATTTATTCCATGGCGGAAATAAAAAAACAGAATTGCGACGATGTAACAATTCTGAGGAAAAAAAGGTCAAACTTTCAAGTTGTAAACTCAAGATTACAAGGAAAAAAAGTCAGAATTCTGAGTTCTATCTCGGAGTTTCAGTGAATTGTGAAAAAGTAGCCATTCATTTTGACTTTTAATCTCTCAATTTTCTTTTAATCTCTTAGTCCTTTTTTTTCTCCGAACAATTATGAGTTTATATCTCATAGTTCTACAGCTACATTTTAGAAACTGTGAGAAAAACACAAGGAAACAAGCTACATACAATTTTAGACTTCTCTTAGAAATGCGACTTTATATCTTACAATTCTGGCCTTTTTTCTCACAAACTTCTCAGAGTATGAATTGTGAAATTGTGGAAAAAGTCCTGATTATCTTTTATATATTTTTTTACTCCATGACGGAAACAAGTTTCCATAGTTCAAGTAATATGACAGTGAAGCTGAAACAACCGTTTTTTAATGCACAATTATTATTTTACATAGATTTTTTTTTTTCTCTTTTGAACAGATTTCTTCTTGAGAAGAACTATTTAATATATGAACTGATTCACTAGGATGAATTTGACTTTCCAAAGCTACATGCTGTTTGAAAGAGAGGTCCATTTAGGATGAACTGATTCAGAATAAACCAAACTTACCAAAATGCCATATGAGAGACAGGTATTTTTACGATAAACCGATTCATTAGAATTAATCAAAATTTCCAAAGCTACATATGAGAGAGAGAGGTATGTTTAGGACGAACCGATTCACTAGAATAAATCAAAATTTCCAAAGCAACATATGAGAGAGAGGTTCGTTTAAGATTAACCGATTCACTAGAATCAGATTTTCCTGTTTACCAATTCACTAGAATTATTTGATTTGAATCATATGATTATTATTATTTATTTATTGTAAAAATACACATTACAAACTAATTTAGAAACTGTGAGAAAAACACAAGGAAACAAGCTACATACAATTTTAGACTTCTCTTAGAAATGCGACTTTATATCTTACAATTCTGGCCTTTTTTCTCACAAACTTCTCAGAGTATGAATTGTGAAATTGTGGAAAAAGTCCTGATTATCTTTTATATATTTTTTTACTCCATGACGGAAACAAGTTTCCATAGTTCAAGTAATATGACAGTGAAGCTGAAACAACCGTTTTTTAATGCACAATTATTATTTTACATAGATTTTTTTTTTTCTCTTTTGAACAGATTTCTTCTTTTTTTCTGATGATTTCATCTCCTCCCTGTAAATAACAAACAATAAAACATAACCAAACATGTCTAAGTTGTCTATATGAAAACTTTGGAAGGATGTGGAAGATGACTAACCTGGACTCTAATACCACTTGCTGATGCCAAAAAGTCTTGCCCTGTCAGTGGCAGAGAAAAAGGTCGCAGCATCACTGCACATGGTCTTTCCATTCTGGTCGCCTTTTGGCACTGCTGGAATGCCCGGGACGGATGGTAAAGGGTCTCCGGTGCCGTTTCTGCTGGTCACAGAATTCACTGCATTTCCAGTGTCAGGAAATACAACTTTTTTTTGTTTTCCCTTCATGCGCCTGGATGGAGGCCTCGTGTTAGAAGATGGGCCAGCCAAGGAAGGTGTAAATTGAGGTAACTGGGTCTGGGAAGGGCTCTCAAAAGTAGGAGTAATGCTTGGCCTTGTCAGCGTCTTGCTTTTTCGGCTTGGGAAACAATTTGATAAACTTTATTTAGTCATTAAAAATGTCTAAGGTGTACCTTTGTGTCAGAAAACTCATAACGTGTGACATGAATGAATAAAAGTGATAAACGTATCTACTTTGTTCTTTTACTCTTAATGTTTTTACTTCCTACACAACATATCGACCTTATTTAAAATGACTAAATGAGTATAGGCTACTGAAAAATTCTAGATTAATAGGCCAGTCATTCTTGAGACATGGGACAAAACAGGTCCAGCAAGGGTAACTGCTATTAGGTTTAAAAATAAAAATATTTTCAATTTTAAATGTCATGAGGGATTAATAATAGAATGTATTTAACACCATTATCACCTTCAATTTAATTTTCTCATTATTATACCAAATCTATGTTTCTTAATGTCTTCTCCCTACATCTAAAACAGTGTGTGTGTCCACAGAGAAGCGTTCAAGCATTCATATGCAATAAAATGGATAAAAATGTTTTTTTTTTAATGATGAAAAAGAGCTTGTTTTATCAAAAGCAACACTTAATATCTCCTATCAAAGCAAGGTTGTTTTTTATTTAATACAGTAATTGACTGATTCAATGTATTTGATAGTTAAAATGACTACAAATTCAGGTTTTCGTCACCACCGTCAGATGTGTCAACTCCGTCAGTTGAATATTTTGATAATATTTCATTATGATATTTTATATTTGTTGTGGAATTGTTGGTCACATGTGAAGGTGTAATCTGTCTGCTAACACGAGAATGTGTTTTTGAAATGTTAAAAACATCTTGAATGCCGTTAAACATAAAGCTGAAATTATATTACACAGTCCAAGCTAAAAAAAAAGCACATTTTGTTAAAAAGGAGAAAGGTTGGGAGGTTGTATCAAAGCATAGCTCAGTAGCTTAGTACATATAAGATACATAAATGTAGTTTCATTTGTCTGAGTACAAGGTTTTATTTTTTCAATGTTGCACCCTGTTTTGTCCCACTTCTCAAGAATGACTGAGGCTATAAAAATATAAATAGACGCTAAATATATATGCTTGATCCATTAAGATGAAATACATCTCTTGGTGCTACTGCTTACCTTTTCACTGCGATCACAAACAGTTAAAATGGTCTGAACAACTTCAGTCACAGATGAACTGCTCTGAACAGATTCCACTGAGGTCGCCTCAGAACTATGGCGTCATAATGCGTCAAGTTCTACCGCTGATGTTCCACCTGGCTGTAGGTGCTCCATATACAACAGTAAAGAGGACGTTCACGCAGGCCTCTTTTTGCATTCATCTGCGCTGTTTTTTTCATGTTTTCTATGTAAACAGGCGCTAGACAGACGCGCGTCGCGTCTTTTGCAGCGTCTCGCACGGCGTTCTAAAAACGCGGAGCTCAGGTTTAAAGTTGTGCTTGCTTGCTTCTTGTGTGAACGCGCTATGAATAATACATGATTATTCTGACCTCTTGTGGTAAAGTTACTCAATTGCTGACTATTTTTTATCAAAATTGATTTTTAATCAATTTAATCAATTTCAAAAAATTGATTTTTAATCAATTTGGGCCTAGTTTTCAAATGTAG